TATATTGTGTAGTACATAACATTTACATTCTTTGTGGGAAGTTGCTACATGCACATAATACATTTTAATTACTTTTTCACCCCCTTTCCCTTCCCTCCCTTCCCTTTCCACTCACCCCTTTATCCCCTATACTTTTTGTACATGCTTATGGTACATAATGTTTACATTTTCTGTGTGGAACTATTTTTTGAGCATATTTTTAATATCTGATTTAAAGTCTTTGTCTAGTAAATCTATACCTGGGCTCCCTAAGTGTGTTTGTATTGATCGCTTTTCTGTAACCTGTGTATTGGCCACATATTCTTGTTCTTTGTGTACCTTATAATTTCTTTCTGAAAACTGGTCATTTTATTTTATTTTTTATTAATTTTATTGAGAAACAAATAGTAATGAGACAGTTTCAAAACAGGATAGTAGGACAGTTATAATGATGAAAACATTGTATATTTTTGTTTTCATAGTACTTATTCATAGTACAAGATGCAGACGTGATATCCTGTCCAAATACTATTAGTACAAATCTTAGTTCTCATTGAATTAAGAGAAAGTAGCTGTATATCTATCTTATTTTGTACATACAGATACAAAATGGTTCTTCATTTATATCCCCTTTTTTCATTTAGTTTTGTCAGAGATGGGTATTCCATCGCCATTAAAATATTGTAGGTGCGTGAATTCAGCAAATACTGGACAATAATCCAGTATAGTCCAGTAGTTGTAGTGGGTCAACTGGTCATTTTAAATAATTATAATGTGGCAACTCTGGAAATCAGATTCATTACTCCCAGATTTTGTTTTTTACAGTTGTTGCTGAATTTATCATGTTAATGTTCTGTTTTGCTGCTAATTGTTTCTTTAGTTCCTTTCTGGATTAGTTCTGTAAAGACTGTGACTTTTATAGTGTTCAATTGAATCTCTATTGATTAGCTTAATGGTAATGCAATGGTTGAGAGATTTTGTTAAAAACCTGAACTGAAATGGTTTTCTACCCTGTGGTAAGGACCTCTGTGGATATACTGAAGCATGACTTCAGTGCTCAGGCATACAGTTTTCAGCTTTTCCTTGGCCTTCACTGCCTGCCTTCACAGAGCCTCAAAGTTGACAAGACATGAAACACTTCTTCGGCTTCCTCTAGTTACGTGTATAGCTCTCCACATGGGTGGAGCCTTTTAAGTCTCTTTAACTATATTAGAATATTACAAAGCCTTCTGGGAGGCTGAACATACGTCTCGTTCTTTATGTCCTTCCTTTAAGATTGTTGGCCAGATTCCTCTTTTTCCCAGTTGGCATAGCTGCCTCAGAAAGCTATGATATTTAGTAAAATTTCCATACATATTTTTTCAATAAACACTGGAGATAGGACTTTTCCTATTGCACAAACTCTAGGACAGATCAAATAACAACAAACTCTATGAATGGAATTTTGCCAGATATCATTCACAAAATTATCTAGGATGGTATTCTGTGAGCTCCAAACCTACCAACGTCTGTTCACTGCTTCTGTAATAGAGAAGCTGTTGGCTTTCCAAAATGCTGTGCAAGGTCAAGTGTCCAAAAATCTTGCTATTAGTGTTGACATTCTGCTGTTTTAGTTCAATAAATGTTCCCCAGGATACTGTAAACTTCTTCTTAATTTCAAGAGTTTTGCATGAGTTCATTTGGCAACATTTCATTCAATGTTTAGTTTTAAGACAAGATTTTGAAGGCTTGTACTCTATTGTACATGAAAGGCTCCTTCATCTTTACCTATAAGAAGTAAGGAAAAAAAAGAAATAAAGATAGAGGAAAGAGGGCTGGCGAGATAGCGAGATAGCTCAGCAGGCTAATAGACAAGCACAGGGACCCAGATTCGATCCCCAGTACCATATGCCATGCTGGCCCTGCTCCCTGGCACGCTGAGCTAGCCACAGTGTCCAGGCGTGGTGGGTGCACACCTGTAATCCCAGCACTAGGGAGGCTAACAGGAGGATCACTATGAGTCCAAGCTGCATAGTGAGACCCTGTACCAAATACATAAAAAAAGAAAAGATGGAAGGAAGGAGAGAAAGAGAAAGGAGGAAGGAACCGAGAAAGGAAAGAAGGCAAGAAAGAAAGAAGAAAGGAAGGAAAGAAAGAAGGAAGGAAGAAAGGAGGGAAGAAAATAAGACTTGAATATACATTAATAGTGGAAATGCTAAATCAATTGTAGGACAGCTCCTATAATGGAATGTTCTACAGTAAATAAGGAGATACAAAGTAGAATTTTCCGTTAAAATATGAGTAATAAGTGAAAGTTGATTTTATATGAACCTAGGTATTCTGTGTAGTTGTATGCATATGTGACTGTCCAAACATGTTAGCCAAAGAAGACCTGAAACTAACTCATTTTACTATATAGAAAATAGGGGTAGTTCCTGAGAGTGTGTGAACTGGAATAGAAAAGACAACTTGCATCCAATACTGGATGAGAGATTTTTATTTTGTTGTTTGTGATTTTTTTCACTAATTTGCTATAACTGTTTCTTGAGAAATATTTACGAAGCCCTGTTTGAGCTTTTTAAAAATGCTTATTAAGTCCCATTTAATTGCTTACTTTCAAAGGAGTCACTTCTCTTTTCCTTTTCTTTCAAACATGGGGTGAGGACACACACATTTAAATTCCAGTGAAAAATACTTCGAATAGTGACACACTTTGGTTCAAAGCCCCTTTCACAATTTCATGAAAGCCCTATGTCCTCTTTCCAAAAAAAATGTACGCATGTACACAATTTTCCTATAATTTTCAAATAGTCAATTAAATTAGTTTATTGGGTTAAGAACTACATAACTTCATCAGTATAAGGATATATAAAGAAAGGGTAGAGATCTTGGAACTTGAAGTCCTTGTAGTTATAGAAAAAAAGACCCAGAGAAGTGATTTCTCCAAGGCTACCTTGTTGGATGGCACCAGAACATGAGCCCCATTCAAAAATCCCAACTTCCATGTCAGAGTTCTTCTGCAAGTCGCCTAGAACCATAGAACAAGCGATAGTCCACATAGGGGCTCTAAGATTCTTAGAGGCCTGATACCAAAGACAAGCTCTCATTATTGTGGCTTCTCCATCTGTAACTCTTCTCATCTTTAGACACAATCCCCAACACTCACAACTTAAAGAAGAAAAAGTTTATCTTAGCTCATATTTTGTAAATGTTTCAGTTTGTAGCTGATTGTCTACAACGCAGGGCACCAGGGCAGAGGGACGTGGCAAAGGAGAAACAGCCCATGTCAGGGAAGGCAGGAGGCAGCAAAGCAATAGCAATGAGCTTCCCTTTCCCTTTTTATTAATTCAGGGTACAAGCCTACTGATTGGTGGCACCTACACCCAGGTTGGGACTTCCCATTATCCACAACCAGAACTATGCTACACCAATCAGTGGACTAATTTAGTTTCACACATTCTTGATCTATTTCCCATACTCACTCTTAACCTACAGAGCCAAGAAAAGCCCCAACTATAAGCACTTGAATTGTCACGCCATCTGACTCTGACTCTCACTAGTGAGCCCAAGAATCGTAGGGACAGGAAGTCAGAGGGAATCAAGGCTTGTCATCCAACAGATATCACTAAATTTTAATGGTGGTAATGTATCTGGCCTAATAAGAAGAACCTAAGGATAACAGAGTAAGCACATGACACAGGACAATCGATCTATAAAGACAGGATCAGATCATAATCCAATCCTGATACAACCAGATAGTGCATACAATGTAAACATTAACCCTGGAGATGAGAATGGAGAATTTAATGAGGGCATAAAAATGCAGGCAAGAATCTGTGGAAGAGGAAATGGAATCAAGAATACAGAGAAATTAAAAATATCAGAAAGAATAGAAGGTATTTGGAAAGGGAAAAGCAAAAGAGGAGTAGATAAAAATATGCAAGAACCTAAAGGAAGGAGTAGAGAAGAAAACAAGTGGTGA